CTGGTTATGACACTTATTTTGCCTTTTTGACCTATGAGACCGATTCTGTATGTGTTTGTGGTTTTATCTGTGCTTTTCTTCTCAAGGATGCACGGAAAGCATGTGCGGATGCCACCCTCTCTCAGGTAGGACTCGTTAAACATCAAACCTCCGTCACTTCTCAAATCATGTTGTTGTAATCGGATGGCGTTTCAGTTGACTCTCTTTTGAACTAGATTTTGTTCTCATGTGTTTCTGGCAGATCACAGCCAATATTGAGCCTGTGGGACGGATTCAGATGCGCACTAGACGGACACTGAGGGGACACTTGGCGAAGATCTACGCCATGCACTGGGGCACTGACTCAAGGTGATCCCGTCGAGCCTTGTGCTGTAAACTAGTAGTAATAGTGCAGATGAGGAGTCATGTTTTGTCATCTCCAGCAGGCTGATGATTTTTGGCTACATACATGTGTATGTGAGTAGAGATCACTTTATAAGCTACACAACAGCTTTGCCTCCGAGTCCGCTGAGGCAATCACAAAATCATGTCTGGATCACACTTACTGCAAAATCAAAAGAAAACGTTTTCCATAAAAGAAAAATTGATTTGTCTTAGCACAGTAAAGTATATTTTTTTCATTGTGACATTTGTTCATGACGGTTAAATAAATTTTCGTCCTAAAGTCATATTCATAGGAATAGGAAATATGCTAAAACAAAAGCACACACATCACTGGAAAAACTCTCAAAAGGGGTGCTCAACAAAATATATTAATGAAAACAGAACAAAGTCGACACACCTAGGCTCTAAAAATATATATTTTTTAATAACAGACTATCCTATTACATTTTTGTATTTTTGGAGCCTTGGTGTTCTGACTTTTTTCTGTTTTCAATAGGAAATATGTTTCCATGATTTATAGATGCTTTAAGAACTGTATTTATTTGAGTTGTTTTTGTTTCGTTTTTTCCCGGACATGCCCTGGCTGGGATTTCTAATTGCTTAAAATGTCCAGCTTTTAAAGGGGTCATAGGATGCTACATGCACTGTTACATGTTGTTTGAGCTGAAATGTGTGTTGGCAGTGTGTGTACACAACCACCCTAAAATGATAAAAATTAGGGCTGAACGATTTTGGAAAATAATCTAATTGCGATTTTTTTTTTTTTACCAATATTGCGATTGCGATTTAATATGCAATTATTTTTTAAAGCTCTTTATGTTCTGTATTATTCAACAAAGACCAGCTATAAATCATTGTATAATATGATCAACACACTATTATAGATAGATAGATTAAACATAAATGTTCTTTTCTGTAGGCCAGGCCTATATGTTATGATGAAATTAGGTGATGCATGAATTGATATGAATTACATTTTTATTTAACAACTACAATCACAGTACATTGACTGATTTGTTGAACTTCCAACCTTGTAAGCATGTAATAATTGTTTAAATAAGCCTGGTGTAAATATTAATATGAAAGTCAGTAACAAATCACACAAACTAAAGTAGATTGCAGAAATATAAAAACAAATCTGTTGCTTTACCACACTACTTTAGGTCATTCACAGTCACTGTAATAAACATATGTAAACATGTGCACTAAACACTGTCTGTTAACTTTAGACCAGTGCTTCTAAAATTTTTGTGGTCGCACCCCCCTTTAAACCTATAAAAAAATCTGCCCCCCTTTCCACCTCAGACTACCAAATACTTTCATTAAACATTATGAAAAATTAATGCTTTTTTATTAAAAAAACCTACAGGGAAAAAAAAACACCTGCATCACTTGAAACATTGAAAAATAGCAGAGAGAATAACTGTTGTTATTATTATTATTATTATTCTCTCTCTGTTATTTAGTTATTGTGGGTTTCATACGGTCCGCTAAGGCATAGGACACACACACAGGCTTTCCTCCTCACCAACGACATTAAACACGTGTCTACACCGGACACGAGCGGCAAAATACAGTAGAACCATTATAATCAGTGACGCTGTGTACACTGGATGCGACGTGACATTAAACTGATGCCTTGTTCTATTTATGACGTTCTGACACAAAGTTAAAATGATTTGCAATGGTCGCTTTGCTGCGTCCAGTGTAGAGCTGTTGCGGCGCGACGCGTCAACTGTAGCGTCTGGTATAGACACAGTGAGTGAAGCCGAGAGCAAGATATGCCTCGTCATATTTTCTGCATTTAGCTTTTTAATGACCAGCATCTGTCTGGGTCTGTGCGACTTCATCTATGGCTTTTCTCTTCCCTTTCACAAACCGATCCATCTCCCATTCTAAGTTACATCCTTTGGCTGTTTACGGATTTATTTCTTTTCTTTTTCTGCTGATGGCCCGCGCTCGACTTGAAGCAGCGCTGCTTAGACCGATGGGTGTGCGTCATCAAAGTACTGCGAGAGCTATAAGAGCGCGGACGTCTCCTTATGCTTTCTCTCGTCGTACTTTGATGTCATACACCGATTGATCTTCAAGTGGAACACACCTATTCACTCTCATGTGTCACGTGACCGTGTAGTGATTTTTAGTGACCGTGTAGTGACCGTGCACTGCTCACCCGCCCCTGAGTGAGCTGTCATCAGTCCGCCATTGTTTCGACGCCGGAGCAGATGTAGACAATAATGGCTCCTAAGCAATCGAGGTGTTCTGTTGTTGGATGTAATAATGAACATAGCAGTCGTCATTTACTCCTGACATCTAAGCCGCTGAAGACACAGTGGATTACATTTGTTTCTGAAGGGAATGCGCCCTCGATCTATCTAAATGCGTTTGTTCACGCGAATCATTCGTGATTCACCTACAGAAGTGAGTGTAAGGTTTTTTAATGAATCTTTGCAAATCGCCTTTCCTAATAATGTGCTAATTATTAAGTTTCACGATGAATGTAAAAGTTTCACTACAGTTTACAGTCCCTCAGAGAGCGGCTTGGAAGAGAGGGGCGGGGTCAGCAGAGCTCATTTGTATTTAAAGCAGCATGCAAGAAAACAGCTTGCTCTGAAAAGAGCTGTTTTTGACAGGGTAAAAACAGTGTGGTTTTACACTACCATTGAGAAATTTTAACCAAACTATGTTACAGACTTTAAGACCCTAAAGAATCATATCAACTTGCGGAAAATGGGCATCATATGACCACTTTAACGATGATTGGTTGATTATGTACAATGCCTGCTACTACTACTAAACTACTTTTCAGTCATTACCTTCAGCAAGTATGAAAACCGTAAGAAACCAAGCCAAAACCTGGACATGTTGGGTAATTTAGAAACCCCGGCCCAGACATGTCCAAGAAAAAGAGGACATATGCTCACCCTACACAGTAATGAAAATTTAAGGTAAATGTGCTGAATTGTCTTGAAAGTAATGTCAGTGTGCAAAAGCGCTCAATGGTTTTAAAAATATCCATAATTCTCTTTAAGCAAATTATAATAGGCCTTTATCACACTTCAAATTTTCGCATCCCTTCATTAGTGTTGGAAATGTCTTTTCACGCTGTCAAATAGTTAAAATTTTCCCAACTATTATTTACAAATATAACTCAAAATGAATGTTTGCGAACAAATACAACCTAGTACAAAACTTTCACATGTCATCATTAATGTAATGGACATCTATGTGAGTGACTTGAACAGTCGTAGTTGAGCGCCAGCGCCACTAACAGATGCTGAGTGGTGTTGCTGGGCGGTATACCGGTTCATACCGAATACCGGTGTTTATTTTTGTTATGATATGAATTTTTAAAATACCGCAATATGTCGCTAAAACAACGTTGGGAACGCGACACTGTTTTCACTGTTGCACTGTGGTGAGGGCACATCTGTATGTGTTACTAAACGTGAAAGTTCCAAACCCTAGGGATGTGCGATATCTTATCGTTTGTGATATATCGGTAAAGATTCTCCACACGATAAGAATTCGTCTTCCCGCGATAATAATGATAAAGTGATGAATATAATAATATAATAATGAAAATAATGATGAAATTAATCTAAATCAAATAAAAAACAACTGCCCGTGCAGATCATGATTAAAATGCAGTGGTTGCTTCTAATTTCAAATGGCTAGATATTTTTTGTTTAAAGCCAGTTTGTTTGTTATAAAGCAAATAGCCAATAAATAAATCTGCTTAAATATCAGTATCAGAATCCAATTTGCTATTTTAAAAAAAAAAAAAAGAAAGAAAGAAAAGAAAATCTGAATTCTGAATCAGCTATGATTGGCGCATCACTAATTAAAATACTAAGTAAAAGGCCTCAGATTTGAAGTACAATCTGGGATGTCTTTTTCTATCAGTTCTTCAATAGGTAGATCTTGTCTTTCATAAAGGCCAAGGTCAGGGATCTTGGGCCTAAAAAGGCTGGTGACCACTGCTCTAAAGAAACAGGATTCCCTAAATTATCGTCATTCATATCGTCATCGCAATAAATATCAGAAATTATCGTGATATATTTTAAAGTCCATATCGCCCATCCCTACCGCCCCCTGCCATCAGCTCCCGCGTCTCACACACACGAGTGCGACTTTAGCACTAGATTTAGCAACTTTCAGACCCTTTTAGCGGCTTTTTTAGCACTAGGCTTTTTTAGAAAGTAGCATTGAATAAACATTATAGAAATGTAGCTTTAGAAATATTTAGATTTACCAGAGAATGTATGACACATAAACTAGGGATGCTAGGGAACTAGGGATCAATACTGATTTCACAATACGATTCTCTCACAATTTCTGAAAAAGAAATTTCAGAATTATGAAAAGGTGTCCTTTTATTATTTCTCAGAAAAAAATGCTGCACATTTCTTTGTGAAATTTGAAATATCAAATAACAAATCTAAATTTAAATTTGAAAACAAACCCCAAATCAAATAAATAAATACAAATAAAAGAAATCTCTTCACATAAACAAAATTTAAATCATAATATAGTTTAGCAAGTTATAGCTTTGTGTAGTTGTAGTTTTTGATTCACATTGTATAGTTGAAATTTGAAGCAAAAACAGAATGGTCTGGCTTTAGCTTTGTGAAACTAAACTAAGCAAAAACAGCAGACTGAATGAAAACGCAAATGCACTCTCTTACTTGGTTACCGCTGTTAACAAAGTAGTGCTGCGCTTATAAATACTACTTCAATATGCAAGATGAAAAGAAAATGTAATCTGAACTTTTCTACAGACAGTCCGTCCCCTTCAGAGATACATTCATATAAACCCACCCCCAACTGTATCATGATTCGTTTAACATCTCAAACGGCTTGAATCGGCACATATTGTTATTGGTTTTCAACCGGCTTGGGTTCATTGTTACATCCCTATAACAGATTTATATAGTTGGCATGAACGCATTTACACTGCAATT